GCAGGAGGGCTGGCAAAAGTGCTGTCCATTACTTAGTCTGAGCTATTTCAGGGCAGATGGATCAGGAACTTCAGAACATAAAAGCACAGTGGAGTGCTGGAATAAGCTGCAGAGACTCCGACAGAAACACTGACATTCCTAAGTAAATACAATAAACTAGCACAACTTGTTCTTAAGTGAACAAAGTTCCTTAAAGGCAAGTTTGCAGGAGATGGGGAAAAACGAAAGACAGCTAGAATTTGGATGCAACAACCTATATCTAACCTGCCTAAGCTACTGAAGTCATGGCATGTCAGAGGGGAATGAATCCCCTTAGGTAAAAGCAGGAAGTAGAGCAGTGAAGGTGAACTTACCCCCACATTTAGGGTTGGGGCAGTTGCTGGCCAAGCTCAGATACCGGACAAGATTCTCTGGGAGATCACTGGGAGCGAAGGGAACACTGCGAGTTTTAATTGTGCGTCCTGCCAGTTCCTGAAGGCTTGGGGGATTGTAGGTCAGGTCACGGACAAACCGAACCACCAGTGGGTTCCCACGCAAGCTCAGCTCTTCCAGGTGAACCAGGTTAAGGATCTCCCGGGGAAGGTAAGTCAGCAGGTTGTTGTGCAGGCTAAGGGAACGCAGGGAATGCAGCCTGAGAATGGAAATGGAAAAATCAGTCAAGATGTGCAAGCAAAATTGTTCCACAACTGCATTACACAGACCTCATTACTCTCCCCTTTCCCACCAATTAATTTTCCTTCAGCCTTTTTGTCCTTTTAAAGCATAAATTCATGCTAAAAGAGGTCTTGTTACTCCAGCACACACAATACCCTAGAAAACCTGGCCCAGCTCTGGAATGCCTGTTAAAAAAATAGTCCTAAACATGCTGCTGTCCCTCTCAGTGTTCCCCTGCATGCCCCCACAAAAAGGCAGCACAGAACAAAAGCATACAAACCAGGCACTTTTGAGGGAGAGAATCTTTCCTTGTACCCAGTGCACGCATCAAGGAAGGTTCCATGCAATACTTTGTCTAAGTCACCTGCTTTCACTCATGCATTAAAGATGACTGCTGGTAGGCAGCCAACCCTGGAAAGCCCCATGTTTTCATTGCTTGCGGCTGCATCACCTTGCTCTGTGATAACACTAAATCTCAAAACCTAAACAAGGTGAGGTCAGGCTAGCATCAGCACAGGTGGCAAGCATTTCCTTGGCTTTTTGGAGGTGTTCTTCTCTCTCAGGAAGCACAAAGCAACGCTCCAGCACAGTGCTCAGGGGTGCTCTCAAACCAGTAAGAGCTCCAAGACAACTTGAGTCACTAAACGTTGCACATCAAGAATAATCCCTCTGCACCAGCAAATTCCAACCCATGCTGCCATCCAATTGCTTTTGGACTTTCAGCTACATTATGAATTCCTTATTTCCCAACTTAGGCTACCCATGTATAGTTCACAGTATCTCCTTTCCCCCATTATGAAACAGATGAAGCAGAAACTTATCCTCTAGAGCTGTGCTGTTGGATTTAACAAACGAGAAAACATTCTGAGATCCTAGAGTAAGAAACACCAGGGGAACACAAGGGATGGTACAACACAAAAGCACACATTAAAAAGGCTTTGGGTGGAAGACAAAACAGATTGTCACTAGCATCATTCATCACAAAGAATACAGTAGCATGGCAGTTTGTTTTCTGAATTGCCACGGGGCTTCCTCCCCACACAAATCTATTAATTCACCTTGAAGTTTATATTTGGTGACATATTTTTTCCATAACACTTTGATTGAAACTTCTGTATGATATATTCATGGTCTGCCTGCAGTGCATCACATTAAGGATCTTGTTGTTCAAGTCTAGTCACACTAGCAAACTGATAGACAACTAGGTCCTTCCAGCTGCTTTTATCCACACATGCAGAAGTTCAAAGAGTAAATTACAACTGGTGGCTGATGACAGTAAATACTCACTGTGCCAGCTGAGGTGGAATGCTCTGGATCTTGTTGTCACACAGAACTAGATAGCTTAGAGAAGGCAAGTTTGCTAATTCAGGTGGAATTGAAGTAATGAAATTCCCTCCAAGGTACAGAAACTCTAAACTGGAAAAGGAGAAAACACTGCATTATTTCATTAAGGTCATCTCCAGTTTCATTTAACACTAGGTCTTCTCATCTCCTGCACTTATTAAAACTTACAGATGACCACGTACGAGATAATTTGCTGAGAGGAAAAAAAAATAAAATTAAAAAGGTGAGTTGCACGCCAAAATTACAAGTAAGCTGCTGTTTCACAACAAATAATGTTGAGATTTACCTCCAGTCTCCTGCAGTCACCATTATATCTGTAGATAGTGTTCTGGTTTGGTTTGGTGGGTTTTTTGGTAGCAGGGGAAGGGTCACAGGAACAGTTCTGGTAAGAAGCTGAGAAGCTCCCCCTGCTCCAAGCCCAGCCAAGGACCCATTAGAGGGACAACAGACGCAGTGCTGGTGGTTGGTGAAGAAGAAGGTGCCCAAGCAGAAGTTTCCCTGCAACCCATGGCAAAATGGCAGCTGTCCCCTTCACTCATGGAGGAACATGATGGAACATTCTCTGAAGGCACCAGGAGGGGTAAACTTGGCCAGTGGACTTGGATTTTGTGGCCAGATGATTTGTTGCCAGTGGACTCTGATTGTGCAGCTGTGAAAGACCTCAGCACCAGGGGAGTTTGTTCCCGAAAGAGCCTGCGAGTCTGTGGGGAGCCCAGGCTGGAGCAGCTCCGGAACTCGTGAGGACTCATGAAGGAGAGGTTCATGGAGGACTCTCTCTCATGGGAGGGATCCCGTGGGACAGCGGGAAGGTCTGTAAGGAATCCTTCTTCCTGAGGAGGAAGGAGCAGCAGGAACCACCAGCCTGTGAACTGACTCTAAACCCCATCCCCTGTCCCCCTGTGCCGCTGGGGGGAAGGAGGGAGAGAAACCGGAAACAAAGTGATTTGGGCTCAGGAAGAAAGGAGGGGTGGGGTAACATATGCAAGCCCTGCTCTGTGTGTTGTCTGTGTCCTGTGTGTGTTTGATTAAAGTGAAATTATTATTTTTCTCCAAGTTGAGTCTGTTTTGCCCAGGACCTTAATCGGTGAAGAACCCTCCTTGTCCTTTGTCTCAACTCAGGAGCTTTGTCCTCTTCATCCCAGTGTGTGTATGTGGGGGTGGGGAGGCCAGGAGAAAGAAACAGAGAACCATGACATTATCGGTGACCCAGATGGGCCACAAGCCCACAATCCTGCCTGGCTCAACATTAATGTTGTGGTTTGGGCCCAACAAGACAACGAAGAACTGTCACCATGGCTGCTCACTCAACTCCTTCCCCCCCTCCCCTCACAGAAGTCACGGAGCCCAAAGCTACCAAGAGCACTAGCAGGGCTTAACTGCAGCCTGAACGTAAAAAAACCCAAACATTAAAATTTAAAAAATAATTTAAAAAATAAATAAAAAATCACTGGACATGCTGTGAAAACTCAGCAGATGGGAGACAGAAACAATCAGAGGCACCAGATGCCTTCTAACACTAGGCACACTAATAGATACACACTATTTGTTGTGCATCTCTGCCCTTCTAGGAAGAAAAACTGGCAAAGCACTGCTCTAACATAATTGCTTTAAGTACCCATTTCACAAAGTCAAATAGTTTTCCTCCCTGCTTTCAGATGTTTTATGGAAGAGGAGCAAAGGCAGGTTCAGTTTGGTTACTTCTGGCTGGGAAGAGAGACCACTGTTAATCACAGTCCAGACAGCACCTTTTCCCATGCCTGGAACAGGTGGATCCCACGGTCCCATCTGTAGGGGCTGGTTCAAGATCTTTAGTGGACACGCAGGTTAGCTGCCTAACTACAGTGTACATTGGCCCCTTCTATTCAACCAAGCA